GCCTGAATCAGATGCAAGAGCTACTGTGGGATTTCTCACCAGCTCTTGCATCTGATTCAGGCGGATACAGGATTTCCTGGGTCTATTATCCTGCCCAGCAAACCCTCCTCCCACAGCAGCTTCCAAGGCCGCCGGCGAGGCTGGAGGCAGAAATAGCCCCCCCAAAAACGGCGCTGGGAAAAATAAAATGCTCTCAAGGCTTTTGTTCCAGGCGTGCGGCCATCCCCTCCCTCCGCCTGTGCCGGAGGAAGCCCGGAGAAGCCGCCGCAATACCTGACCTTCCTGGGCATGCCTGCTCCCATCAAAACAAGGCTCTCAAAATAACTCGCTCCAGCAGTGTGGCCATAGTCGGGCTGAGGGCGGCGGCGCCTCGGCTTTCCCCTCCCCACGCACGCCTTTTTCCCTGAAGCCCGCAATAAGCCTCGGCGCATGTATTTGCTCAGCAGCCCCACAGTTTTCGGTTCATTGTATTCATAGGAAACAGCCGGCGGCCAGGGGAAACGCGGCCCAGAACAAAACACAGCCTGAAACGTTTAGTCTTCGCTGGTTTTCTCAGGAAATTTAGCAAAAGGCTCCGTCTTTTGTCCTGGCTGTCCCCAGGGAGCGGGGACAAGGGCTGGGCTGGGGAAGGAGGTGCTGCTGCAGCCCCCGCGTGGGTCTGTGGGATCTCTCTGTTACCCAGGGCTGTCCCTGTGGCGCTCGGTCCCATGCTCCCAGCCTGCTTCTTGGGCAAGAAAACCAAGCCCAGGCAGCCGAAAGGGCGTTATCGCCGCCCTGTGCCCCGCACAGCCCCAGCCCATCGCTTCCGACCCGCTCCCGGGGGGCTTCGGCATCATCTGCTGCTCCCAGCCCTCCTGCTCACCTCGTCCCAGGGCACTGCAAACCCCTTCAGTGTCTGGGGTTTTAACGAGGGTTTTTAGAGCTTTGGTAATCCAATGCTTGGCGGCAATAGAGCTGGAAATGCAAACATCTCGGTGTCCGCATACAGCACCCGAGCGATAACGCCTGGGGCCGGGTTTCTCTCCCTTCCAGTCCTGGGCGAGCTCCCCACCTCCTCCCACCGCAGAGGGGGGCTGCCAGGAATCACACTTCTTGTTTCCGCCCCGCTGAAACCCGCCTGCCTTTCGGGCTCGTTTCTCCTTCTTTACGTCAAGATGCCACTACCGCATATGCTGCCGGCGCCAGCGGGAAGTTTTCTGCCAAACCCGGTCCTAAGAAAGAAAGAAGACAGGGGAGGCTTTCGCTTTCAGCTGCCAACCCCTCCCCCTGCAGATCGGGGACCTGCAAAACCCTCCTGCAAATCCTGGGTTGGGATGTCTAGCACAGGTCCCAGGGGACAGAGGTGCCCGTCACCGCTGTCCCCGTGCCCCTGGCTGGTCCCCCATCACCCCCGATGCTTTGCAAAAGGAGCTCGCCGGCGCATCGCTGCAAACCGGGGCTGGAGCTCAGGGGGCTCCTACCCAACCCCCGGTGCCTAAATATTTTCCGACACTACCTGCAGGAACACGCCCAGCAGCGAGCACTAAGAATAGCACACAGAAAGGCAGCTGGGCACTGGTTTAGATGAAGCCGCGACCCTTTGAAAGCCCTGCAAAAGGGGGCCGAGCGCTGCGACAGGTCTGCTGGGCTCTGCAACCGGTTCTGCCTTTGTGCCAAGGTGCTTTGATGGAGGGTTTGAAAGAGAGCGGGAGGTTATTGTTCCCTTCTGCTTTTGTTGGCACGTTTTTAAAGCTTGAATTCCTATTCCCTGCTTCCTTCCATCCCAAGCCGGGCCTTTTTCTTCCCCGCACCCGGCTATCAACCATCAGCTCATTTTTCCCCCAAACCAGCAAAAAGAGAGCTGTGATTTCAGCACCGCTCCGTTTCACGGGCTGTCAGCCAGGCAGCGTGCGCTCCTAAAAGCCATTCCCGATGTCAGAGCCAAGGACGTGCGGGAGCAGCGTGACGCCTGCCCCAGCTCCCCGCGAGTGGCAGAGCCGCAGGCAGAAGGTGCCGGGACGGCTCCGCGCCCACGAGGACCCACCGCCACTATTTATATCCCTCTCTTTCTGCGAGCAGTGGGTGGTGATGAGCGGGGTGCTGCTAACATCCCTTCCTTGGGTTTTTCCAGCAGGACTCTGCCTGGC